TATATATATATATATATATAGATATAGATATATATATTTCTTTTGATATGAGAAGCTCAAGAATTAAATGTAATTTTCTGCTTAAACACCGATAGGCATCAACTCCCTAAAAGAATAGTAAGGGAAAAACTGATCCAGCTTTTGTTGATTATATCTATTTTGGACTTATGAATTTGTGTTTTGAATGTGAATGTGCCGTTTATTTTCAAGTTGTACTTTGTGAAATAGTATTTTGAAAGTGAAATGTTTTGAATTTATGTGGTTCAACTAATTCAGAATCAGTGATTGTGTGGAGTTTAAAATATTGATTTTGACTCAATGGGTACTAGGAGGGAGATCTTCATGAGTTGCCCCATTGAAGGAGTAAAGAACGAAGGAAGACAAGAGCATATGAATTCTACCAAGTCCCAATTTTGAACAGAATAAAACGAATAGTTGGGTGACAGCCAAGGAAAATAAAAATTTAGGAAAGACTATTTTTTCAGTTCAGTTTCTCCAAGTGGACTGTAAAGAAGTGCAAAGAATGAGCAGAAGACCACCACCTGATCCCGTGGCTGTGCTACGGGGTCATCGAGCTTCAGTCACAGACGTTTCTTTTCATCACTGTAAGCCAATATTATTCTCCAGGTATTCACTGCAAATGTTTCTGTCCTTTTTGGTTTCATGGGCATTACTCCGCTACACATTTTTTTCCCTGGTTATGGTAGATTGGTATCCATCAAGCGTTTCATTGGCTGCTAGTTATTTTTATAAGAAATTTTAACATTTACTGTAAAATATGCGTTCAATAAATGCTTGACAACCCCTGGGTACCATGCCCATTAGGGTACCATTGAAACTCCCTGTTTTAGTTGGTTGCTTGTACAATTAGTTTCACTTAATATTGAGTCACGTCATGCTCTTCTCGCATGCAGTTCTGCTGATGGTGAAGTGCGGATGTGGGATACCCTTCAGCATCGAACAGTGTCATCTGCATGGTGCTTAGATCTACATTTTTTTACTATCATTCGTATTTGTGAAGAATATCATTGATTTTCAGAGATTAAGATCCATGATGAAAATTTATTTTATATTGCAGGTTACACAGTGCCTCACATGGTATTGTTGCTGTTGCCAGTAGTTCTTCCCTCGGAACCAACAAATTTATTAGGTGCATCCTTTTCTACCTAGTCTTCCCTTTTCTATTTTAGCATCTTAGTATAACTTTGCTTTATTGATATTCATTTATATTTTTTATGCATGTAGCCAGGGTAGGGATGGAACTGTGAAAGTTTGGGAATTTGATGATGCTGGTTTGTCCAGGTACAGATTTATATTTACTTCTTCTACTTCTACAAACATCTCATCCTTTTCTAGTTATGTAAGGATAGCTTGTGTTTTTGTGATACAAGCTACAGAGATGTTCTTTTTATCTTCTTTCTGTTGATCTTCACCCCTGAACCCAGGATTCCATCACTTACAATCAAGACAAACACTTACCACTTTTGCAAGTTTTCCACGGTGAAGAGTCGTTCTGTCTGGTCTAAAGAATGCAAAGCATTAAAAGATTGCAACAGAACAGAGCTAGGAGGATTGTCTGATAGAAATATTCCGGAGGTTAACAAAGAGGCTTACACCAATCAAAGTTGTTCTGAAAGCTTTGGAGGTTTGTATGTTCTAGTTTGAAATTGTTGATGTTTAAGAATTTTTTTAACTTGTGACAGTTTAACCATTCTGGATTCTGAATTATTCTATATTTTAAAATATTAGAATAACTTGGCATCAGTGAACTGTGGTGATTTCAATACTAACTTAAAAATAATGGATTAGGTAGTATTGTTGTGTTTGCATGGTGTTTTTGGAATGACAGAATTTATGAACTAATTAGTGTTGTTTTTGTCTTTTGTGTAACTGTCATGTTCTTAAGCATCAGTAGGCGTATCTCGGTTTATCCTTTTCTGAATAATTTATTGTTAATGACAGTACAATTGCAAAATTTACTGAAAAAAATATATTTAAGGAGAAATTTGAACATATTTATTATTGCTACTGTTATTATTTCTCTTATTTTACATCAAATAATATGGGTTGACATCATCCTAGAATTTTCAGACTTATACAGTGTTTGGTTCAACTTATTTTAAAAAATAAAATAATATTATTTTTATTAGCTTTAAGAGAAACACAATTAATTTTCCAAAATTAATCCCAATAAAACATGCACTTAGTACACTTTTGCTGATCTGGATGATAATAGAAATTTGAAATTTAATAATTTCATTATCTAATTTCCTTTTTAATGAAGTCTTCTCTGAGTCTTCTAACTTATTTTTAAAAGGCTGCACATACAATTGCACTTTGGAGATGCTGCCATGATGGACCAAATTCCTCATATTACAGATCTTTATTGTTTCCTTTTATGTTCTTAAAATAAAATGTTTTTACTCTATATTACTGAGAGATACTTTATGTTTTACAAGTGAGATTGATGAAATCTCATTGTATTCACAGAAAATTTGTATAATGAAGGGCTACAATATGTGGCTTTGTCAGGGGAAAACTCTTCAGAGGTAGGCATGCCTTTCTAATGTAGAAGTTATATTTATCTTTTTAAATATAGTTCATTGCTAAATTACAGACCCCTTTGCTCATTAGTTCTATCATTTTTGAAGGTTGAAATTTGGGATCTCAAGTCAGCTGAAAAATTTTTAAGACTCCCTTCAAGCAATCCTAGTAACTCTTTGAGTGCTTGTAACAAAGGTAGATATTTGTTTCTGGTCTGTATTGAGATTCAGCTTCTACCATCAATTTTTGAAATTCTCATTTCTCAGGTTACATGGTGCTTTTATGCTTTACATTTTTTTCTACATTAATGCACTTCAACATCCTCCTTATTTTTTTCTTTTCAACATTTTATTGATTATAATTTATAAAAATACGTTTACTGAATTACTGCAACTGTTTCTTGTCAGGGATGTGCATGGCACTTCAATTGTTTTTACCATCTGAATCACAAGGATTTTTTCATGTCCTGGCTGGGTATATTCTTTTTCCTTCTTCCTTCTTCCTCCTTCCCTCTCGCTCTCACACTGGTATGTGTATGTAAAGATAATCAAGTGAAACGGGTGTCTCATTATGGGAGAGTGAGGGGAGAAAATCTTAACTGTCTTTTGTGAGAGGTCATGCAACCCACTTAGCTAGTAATATTGGCCATCCTTATGAGATTGAATGGTCAATATCTGATGTTCCTTTTGATCTCTTATGGAGGGTATGTCAGGTGGGAGCACTATCTTATTACGAAAAGTGAGATGAACCAATGTTACCCATTAAATATCACATGGATGGCCAATATTACAAGTTACTCAGGTGGTCACATAATCACTACAAACTTGTTGTTCTCTTGACTGTTTGTGTTTATCCAATGGTCAAGATTTGTTCCTCTAACTCGTAATAAAACCCCTCACCTGGTATGGTTCTCATACATACTTTAGAATATTAGAAGTGTGTTTGGATTATCTTAGAATATCTTTCTTGATGAAGTTATGTCTTATAGTCAGACGGGCTTGTTCTAATAACACTAATAAGTAATTAGTTATATAAATAGGAGTATTAAGGTTGTATTACATCAATCAATTATATTCAGTTTATTATTTAAAGGTTTGAACTTTCTTTTTCTCTTTTCTCTCTTTCCTAACACTAAACTTTTAATTCTACAATAGTTGTACTCATGGTTGTCAATCTCTAGTGACAACTCGTAAACTCGTAGTTTACGAGTTTACAAGAGCTTACCTGTACAACTCGGAGGTAAACTCGTTTTTTAGTGAACTCGGAGCGATCTCGGTGAACTCGGGTAAACTCGTGTAAACTCGCGAGACTACCTCCGATATTAAGAGATCACCGTTTTTTTTTTCCACACACAAAACGCACGTTTTGTGTTGTGTGTTAGGGCACTTTCACTCCAGACCAGACCTCTCCTACTCTCCTCTCCACTCCAGACCTCCGCAGCGCCTCTTCCACGGCTCTCCTCCTTCGCGCCTCACCTCCTTCGCGCGACACCTCCGCGCGTCTCCTTTCCTCTCCGCGCGACACCTCCGCGAGTCTCCTCTCCTCTCCGGCGAATCTCCGCTGATCTATCATCTCTGACAGTGGCTCTGTCTTCCCCGGCATCTGCAGATCTGTCTTCTTCTAAGAGGGAAGGCAGCGGCGACGGCTTGAGGAAGGGTTGCATTGCAGGAAAAATAATTAGGGTTGGAATATGGGCCAAATGGGCCAAGTTTTATTTTTTGTTTTGATTTGGTTAAGAGGGTTTTTACTTCATTATTTTTTTTAGAAAGTAACCTCTCTTTATTAATTATTAATTATTATTATTATAATTTAGATAATATTTTAAGTAATACAAAATTTAATATAAGACCTTAAATATTTTGTTTTCTTAATTTTTTTATTTTGTTTAACTACTATAAATTTTTATTATTAAAAATATTTAATGTATAAATAGTTATATTTTTATTTTTATATGTATATTATTAATTATTTGTATTATAAATTATCTAATATTTATATATATATATATATAAATAAATTAGAATAGTGTAATCCTGCTATATTTAATAAATTATTTTATTATTAATATAATTTGTTATTTTACTCTTTAATATAAAGTTAAAATGTTTAATTATTATATATTTTTAATTATTTTTATAATTTTGTTTATTGAGTAATCTCTTACGAGTTTACGATACGAGTTTACGGAGCCTTCACGAGATTACGTAAACTCTCGAGATTGACAACCTTGGTTGTACTCGTATCTTCCACAATGTGTAGAGTTTATCCTTCTGCCATCTTTCTCCTATATCTTCTCCTTTCCTTTCAGCTTAGCTTGAAATTAAGACTATTTAAAAGGAGAGGGGAAAAAAAAGGACATAACAGCATCCAGACATTTCACATTCTTAGTGCTGCCACCCCTGAGGCTACTGTTTGAACAATCTTGCAGTTGGCTAGTGGTTGCAGGTGACACGTTGGTCTGGCAACCAGTGAGCAATTGTTGTTGAGGGTGGTTATTGTTTTTGCTTTTTTGCACAAAGGGGTGTGTATGGTGATGAGTGGTTTTCATTGCTGGTGAGGTTGTTTCAAACTTACCTGGCTTGTGTTTTGGCACTGTTTGGTGTGCTTTCTGATGTGGGAAATCATTGTCTTTCCATATTGAAGAGGTGGTTCTGTGTGCCGTAGCATGGTGGAAGTTTGATAGTGTTGATGTGCCATGGTGTTACCATGTGAATGAAGATGAGTATTTGCTGTGATACAGTGCCCCTGTGGTGGAAGTGTATGGTGGGATGAGGATGGTGATTTGGTACTTGATGTGATATATATGGACCCTTTTGGTGATTGTGTGGTGGCTATTGCTTGTGAAGATGATAAAAACCTTGATTTTATGTTTGTAGGCTTTGGAGGGTATGGTGTTGTTTGGGGATTCTCTGGTCTCAGATGTTTCATGTGTGGCTAGAACAACTGGATTATGGCAGTGCATTCTGTTAGGAGGTTACTGTTGTAGGTGATAAAAAAAATTGTGAGAGCTTAAAGTTACTACCAGGCTGAAAATTTGGTGAGGCTTGTTAAAGTTTCTAGGTTGTTAGTAGGATCAAGATTTGTGATTGAAGTATTGTTTTCTGTTAATGCTATAGCATGATAGGGTTTTTTGGTGTTTCAGGGAGATTGGGGCTTTGGTGTGTTGCTCTTTGGTGTGTTCTATGACTATCTTCTAGCTGTGGCTATCAAATCTGGTGTTCAAGCAATTTCTTCTCCTCTCTATATGCATGGTCAAGTGTGCCCTGGATAGTGTCTGCGGCAGGAGTGTTGCATGTCATTCTTCCGCCTTTTCTCCCATGTAAAGCCAAGAGTGCTGTAGACGGTTATGCATGGTCAAGTGTGCCCTGGATAGTGTCTGCGGCAGGGGGGTTGCATGTCATTCTTCCGCCTTTTCTCCCATGTAAAGCCAAGAGTGCTGTAGACGGGGTTTCTAGCAACTAGAGTGTTATAGACTTATAGTCAACTAGAAAGGTGTGACCAAGTATTACAAAATGACAAACTAGATTTGAAGATAGAATAAACAAGAACGAATATGCTATTGGAGACTGAAATCTCAACAGAAATCTCCTTCCTTTTTCCAAGGGTTTTCCCTTCACAAAGGGTTGCCCCTTTCTCAAACTGAGACTGCTCTGTTTCTGTTTGCCATTACTACGATTCTGAATGCCTCCGCTTCTATTCCCCATTTTTTTCTTTTTATTATTTAAGCTCGCTCATAAATCAATTTTGTAACTAATTACTATTGACAACTCTAGCTACTTTGCCCATTACTAGCTAAAGTTGGCTTTATTTCCCATTATTCTTCTTTTGTGGGTTCTATCACCAACGTAGTTGCAGGTCCAACAGCAGCTGTCGTAGTTTCTTGTGGTTTCAGCCAGATAGAAAATGTGAACTAGGGTGTGACAGGTTTCAGAGCCGGTGTCATCCTATTCCTAGTTTCTCCTCTTCAATATTAGGTGGTTCAGCATTGCCTTTCTTCATCTTCTTCTTTGTCCTGTGTATGGAATGCTGAGTTTCTCTTCTCTTGGTGATAGCTCACTATTAAAATGGCGTGCCTTCTCTTCTTTCTGGCTGTTTGGATTTGTCTCAATTTTCTTGTGAAGATTGCTGAGTTCTGTACTAAATTTAAGCTTTTGTGATTCAGGGAGAGCACTAGTTGCCTAAGTTGATTGGACAGATGGGCTAGTGTTATTCTTGTTCTGTTTGCAGGTTTGATACTTGTAATAAAGCTTCAGCTTGAGGGAGTGTTACGGAATATTAATATCTTAATTTTTTTCCTTTATTTGTTTAATTTAGTGATCTTGAGCTTGTACTTGTAGTAAGGGTACTTTACCTAATTAGTATTTAGTAATATAAATAGGATTCTAAGATTAAGGTATTGACTTCCGTCTCATTCTATATTCCAATCTAGATATGAGGATGGTTCCATGCTTTGGTGGGATGTACGAAATCCTGGAGTTCCAGTAACTTCTGTAAAATTCCATTCTGAGCCAGGTACGGAATTTAGCATCCTTAGATTTCTTTTTTATGTTTTTTTAATAAAATTTAGTTAATAACTGATCACTTTTGTAGTTCTTAGCATCTGTATTGACGGATCTTGCAAAGGGGGTATCTCAGGAGCTGCGGATGACAAAATTGTCATGTACAGCTTGGATCATTCCTCGGTAACTTCCATTTTTTTTTATTCTCTTCTTCCACTGAAACATCTCTTGCTCCTAAAAGTTGTTCTTTTATTGTTTAGGCTTAGGATTTAGAAAGTGTAAATAATAATAAAAAATGTTACCCATTTTTTTATATCAAGTCTTTTTATTACATACGAGACTTTTCGTCAACATATGAGACCCTTTTTTTTATAATAAAAACGATTAGTAAATAATCTTTTATTTGTGTGCTTAAAACTTACACTTTTTAGTAGTTTTACCTTTGGACCAGCCCTAGTGATTACAGATATGAAGATAAATGGGAGACTACTGGCTTCCCACGTGAATGTTAAATCATTCAGTTGATTAGAGGTTGTTTTCCACGTACAAACATGCTTAATTTGTATGAATAAAAACAAGGATCAAGATATATTTAGCAAGTAACAACCTAGATAGTGTTAACACGTCTTGAATAATATAATATGGATTTGCTGTTCCACTTGGTTGGTATGACTAACAGAATAGCTATAAAGCAGGGTATGGGAACAGGAAATGACAGTTTGCTTTAGTTGTATTTCATGATTATTTTCAACAGAAAATTTTCTTATGCTGGCTTTTCAGTCTGCAGCTTAATGTTATCTACACCCCTTTTCAGCTTATTTATACTTATTCTCGTGTATATCATGTTGATGACTAAAGGGTACGTGTGTGATCAAGAAAGAAATCAGTTTGGAGCGACCTGGCATCTCGGGCACCTCAATTCGGCCTGATGGAAAAATTGCTGCAACTGCTGGCTGGGACCACAGGTTTTTAAATGCATTAACCCCTCCCCTCCCTCTTTTCTAAACATGCTTAGGGAAACCTCCCAGGGGTAATTTAACGTTTGACTTGTCTTCATTTTATCAAAACTTCCCCCTATTGAGAAAAGGAAAAGAATCAGTTCTTTTTTAGTGACTCACAGATCATAATTCATGATAAGATGTTCATATTCTAGGTTGCACTATCCTATCTATATGACAGACACATGCTTTGTGTGCTATATCAGTTGAAGAAATTCCTATATATAAACTATAAAATTTCTCGTACAGTGCACAAGTATTTTAAAATTTAGGTATAATTTAAAAATAAAAGTAAAATCTGGGATAAAAATTACCATTGTTAAACAATGACAAAATAACTTATCTTAATAAAGGAATATAATAGAAATCTTCACTGTTAAAAAAGATACGACTTTTGAAATTGATGTTTAAATCAAGTAAATAAATTATATGAATCAAGTCATATCATACATGTTTAAATTGTTATTTTGATCTAGTGTGCAAAATTTAGAATTCAAATTGAAATTAGGATTTAAATCTATGTAATAATATTTGAGAAGAAGAAAAAAATGTAAAGGACATAATGTAAGATACCTGACGAAGAAGTCTTGTGGCACACATTGAGAGTAAATTAGGAGCGTTCTTACTCAAGAATAAAGACTCAAATGTAATATAAGGATTGATTATGATTGTTGATTTGGAGTGAGCCAGAGCTGAATCCTAAACTGGAATTGATATTATTCAACTCCATTAAATATAAGGGTCCTGGTAACAAGTTTTTAGTATAAATCTCAATGTGGTCCATTTTTAGTCTACACCACTAGTAAGAGTGTCGAACTCATAAATTTTAAGTAGTGGAACGATATTCATATACAAATTTGTAATAATAAACATATAATTTTATATTTTTTGGAATAAAATATATATTTTAATTGTTCTTTACTAAATTTTATATTTTAAAAATATTGAATGATTTTCTGAATTTTAACATCTTTAAAATTATTTTTCTTTATAAGTAACAAAACAATCATTTAATCATTCATTTCTCATATTTAAATTGTCTTTTTAAAAAAAGTATAATATGAACTTGGATAAAGCATCATCTTTTGATTAAATTTACTTAATTATAATTAACATGACACATCGTGTACGCACATATAAGTTTGTTTATTCACAATTATTTGTTGTTTTTAAAAAGAGTAAGTTAACAAGTTACATTTAGGTACATTTTAAAAAATATCACGGCCATAACTTACTAATATATTCTTTTTAAAAAATATTTATTTTAACAAATCTCATATACATTTGATAATTTACATCTATTTAATTTTAAGAAAAATTAAATTAGCAAATTACATTCATGTATTTTTTTTAAAAAAAAAATATACTTTAAAAATAATATATTGATTTTAACTTTATTTTATAACATAAAACACCAAGTAATGAAATACTTAATTTTTAACATGATAAATAGTATATTTTATTATAATATATTTATATATATAGAAAACAATTGATATAAAAAATCAATTTAGTGAGAGGCATTTGTCTCCACTTCTACCAAGGTGGATCCGTCCCTGGCTGGTATCCATCCATCAGGAGAGGATAACTTGGTGGGATTAACTCTTCCAGCTAGAGGTTTTTTTTTTTTGTTTTTTTTATAAACCAAGTTCGAACATGACACCTTATTCAATGGCTGCTGTTTAAATCTGGTATGCTATTCGTAGGTTGAGGATATATGATTATCGCAAAGGAAATGCTTTAGCTATTTTAAAGTATCACCATGGCACGGTAAGTCACTGTTTTCTATTATATTATATCTAATGCAGTCTGAAGATGTAACTGAAGCGTGTGTTTGTTTCCGATTTTGGATGTGAAAATTCACGTTAACAAGAAGAAAAAAGTCAAGCTTCCACGTAAATTTGATTGTAAACGTGAAAAGAGAAAGAAAAATCAAGTTCATAAATCAAAACTAATCAAAACCAAACACGCACGAAGATAACATGAAAAACGACAATTTCTTTTTGTGACATTTCTTAATATAGTTAACATGCTTTTTCTGTGACATGCCTATCTTGCAGTGCAATGCTGTAACCTATTCGTCTGATTGTAAACTTATGGCCTCTGCATCGGAAGACACAACTGTGGGACTATGGGAATTGTATCCGCCTCGGATATGATACTGAATTTGATGAATTTATTCGATGTCGATAGTTCTAGACTATAGCTTTATTAATCAATGGTTAATTACTTTTGTGCGCTCAAATCAGTTGTAACAATCATTTTTTTACTTTTTAGCATGTATTTGGTATTTATATCCTTAAAATAGAAGTGTGATAGTTTTTCTGAGGGGATTGGGTGTGTCTGTTTAAACTTTTTTTTTTCTTTTTCATATAAAGCGCTTGTGTTTTTTAATAGAATATGTATTTCTGTTTTTTTATATATATTTGTCTAACTTTTTTGAGTTATTAAATGAAATTTTTTTATTAAAAGTTATTCTTAAAATAATTTGATCTCATATATATATATATCGGTCTCAGAGATATCAATGCTAATCAAATTGGTAATTATCAAAACGTACCTCTCTTTGTCACTGGTCATACTTATTTATACTAACCTTGATGGGCCAGGCCCATATGTAGGCCCATAAGAGGATCCATTAATGATACGAGAAGTCTTCAATGTGATCGCAAGGAGTTATAGATTCTTCTAAGGTGCTTTCCCTAATATTCATACCATTATCCGGTATATTATCTTTAATTTGAATTAATGAAATAAAGTATCAAATAGTTTTCAAATTTATTAAAAACTTGCAAATTTGATATAGATTAATAACTTTTGATTAAATGGTTGAATTGTTGAAATTTGATGTAAAACATAAGTTATTTAGTAAAGTAAGTGAATCTCTTATTCTAAGAATAAGTCTAATTAAATTTACTTCACTCAATAACTCATATTATACTTAAATTTATTTCACTCAATAACTTATGTTATACGTCAAATTTTAATAACTTAATCATTAAATTAAAATTTCTTAATGTATCAATCAAGTATGTAATTTTTTTAGAAAATTAAAAAATATTTAATATTTCATTTTTTTAATTTAGATTGACAGATAATCATAAAATTATTTTATATATTAATTTAAATTAATAAAATAGAGTATTAAGTAATTTTAAAAAATTATAAATCTAATTTATGTATTAAAAAATTTTAATTTAATAATTTAATTATTAAAATTTAATATAAAATATGAGTTATTTGTGTTGATATGAAATGAAATTGAACTTACCTTGCTACACATTTTCCTGTTTAGATCTTAGGAAGGGTAAATTGATTCATCTCTATCGAAAGTTCTAGGGTTTCCGAGACTCTAAATGCTTCTAGCCAACTACTTGATTCAAGTAGAAAATGATGACTTGGCCAAAAAGCTAAATATTGTTGGTTTGAAAAAATTGACCGTTTCAAAACCCTCATATTTACGGGTAGATAGAATTTCTCTTATGTTAATGATCTTGTGCTCTAACAAACAGTTAAAATTGCCAAATTGTTGAAATAATTATTGATCTCATTATGGATAAAAGAAATTACAAATTTCATTAAAAAAAACAATATTTATGTTTTTCTTCCATTTTTTTTAATTGTTCTCTTGAAAGGTAAATGTGATATGTAAATAAATAAATAAAGAGCATGACTATAATGGAGTTAGTAAGGTGTACAATTTGCCTCCCACAAATAGCCTACCTGATCTAATTTATGGCATTACCTTTCAATGCAAACGGTAGGATATATGATGTTATGGTGCACTGCGTGTTAGCACTTAAATGGAAACAAAATAAAATGGGAAAAAGGACATCTTAACAACGCCAATAACATTGAATTTGGTAACCAACACGGAGATGCTGCATGCATATGTGATGTAAACAAGTAAAGTTGTATGTCAACTATTCAGGTTTCATGCGTTAATTATTTGTTTAAATTTAAAATTAGATTTGATTATTTAAATAAGTTTGATCCAAAAATTTAGAGGTTCCATTAAAATTTCGTGAATAATTCTCTCTCATTGTAAATAATAATCTTAAAATAAATAACTTAGATTAAAAGATTACAAACAAAAGTATCACAAATTTCTATCATTGTAATTATCTCTATTATTATCGTCATAACTAACCTCACAACTTTTACCACTATTATTGCTGTCACCGCTAGGGATGTTAACAAGAGTGGAATTAGGGGTGGGCAAAATGAACTGAACTGAATTGAACTTATAAAAACTATACTGAACTTAAAAGTAGTTCTCATGAACTGAACTAAACTAAATATTAGTTCAGACGAACTGAACTGAACTATTCTTTTGTGTCATTGAACTGAACTGAACTATACTATAAAAACTTGAACTGAACTGCAATTTAAACTGCACTGAACTGTTATGATATTTTGAATTGAACAATTTTGACTCATTGATCTATCAAAATAGGACACATTTGCCAACTTTACTTTATTTTCCATTTTATTTAAATTTTTCAAAGAAAAAATATAAAATTAAGTCAAACAAACTCAGTGAATTTTAAGCCTAAAAATAAGTAGTCCAACATAGCTCAATTGATCCGTTAGGTTGACAAAATTGATACAATTTTTTTTTGGATCACTTTTTTTTTTTCTAAAGTTTTGGTTATTAGACTATCGAGTTAATCCATTAAGACATAACATGTTAGAGACATTTAATTTTTATCCTTTTATAAAAATAGTTCAATTTTTATAATTCAGTTCAGTTTTATAGTTCAGCACAATTAACTTTTCAACAGTTCAATTCAGTTCATTTTTTTTTAAAGTTCAGTTCAATTTTTTTACAAACAGTTCAGTTTTTTATAGTTTAGTTCAGTTCAGTTCACCACTAGTTTCAGTTCAGTTCAATTTTTTTTGCCCACCCCTAGGTGGAATGAGTATGGGTAATAGCTCCACCACTCGTCCTGTTAAATAAACATTTGTCATGTGCCTATCTCCATATCTATGTAGGTATCCATGAAGTGGATACTTGCATATTTTTTTAATATTTATGGTATCCATAGATATTTATTTTAAAAAAAATATTTTAATAATAATTTATATTTATTCTAATAATTTCTTTATAAATAATAGTTTAAAAGTCAAAAGTTAAATTATTCAATATAAATAAAGAGGAAGGTTAATATAGTGATGATATTTCTCATTTCATTTCATCATACAAAACAAAATGCAAGGGGGAGCATTTTATAAAAGCTACCCCTCTTAGTACAACTATTCGATAGATTTGTTAAATCAAAAAGTGATAGGTGACATACAACACACCTGCAGGAATATTTTGTTTGTTATAATAGAATTAAAAAGGTAAATGCAGAACAAAAAATGGTAAAAACAGGTAAAAGCAATATTTACACACTAATACCCCCCCAACTCAAGAATGAGGTTTATCAAAAAAACTTTTCACATTGAGTTTGCCTCTAAGTAGTTGAAATCGAGCTGGAGAAAAAGGCTTGGTTAGCAAGTTTGTCCATTGATCCAAAGCTAGAATGTGATAAATGAAGAGTTGTTTGAATAAAGCCTTCTCATGAATAAAAAATACATCAATTTTCATATGTTTTGCTTAGTTATGAAAACTAGGATTATGAGCAATGACTACAACACTTTGGTTATCACAGAGCAGCTAAGGTGTAGAAAAAAAAACCTAAAGTTCATGTAACAAAGCTTAAATCCATATGAGCTCAATAGAGGTATGGGTGATGCTCTTATATTCAACCTCTATGTTGGACCTAGTTACAACTTGTTGTTTTCTTGACCACCAAGAGATCAAGTTTGGTCCCAAGTATACAACAAAATTAGAGGTGGATCTTTTGTCATCAATATCTAAAGCTTAATCTGCATCACACAAAATTATGATGAATAAAGGTTTGACAGTTGGTTACATGAGAAAACCATGAGAGAGAGTGCCATTAAGATATCTTAGAATTCTTTTGACAGTCACCCAGTGAGAATCTAAGGGATTTGCCATTAATTGGCAAACTTTGTTAATTGCAAAATTGATTTCAGGTCTTATAAGAGTAGCATACTACAAGGCACCAACTACATTGGATTTTGAAATAAATTTCCCCTAATTTTAGACAATTTGCAATTAGAGATCATAGGAGAAGAAATAGGGTGAGCTTCAACCATATTAGTTCGATGTAGAAGATCTTTAATATACTTGCTCTAAGTCATAAGCAAAGACTTGGCAAGAAGGTGCGTGATTTCTATACCCAAATAATAATTCAATGTACCCAACTGCTTTAGAGAAAAGAAATTGAGTTAAGTTGGTCAATAACTTGTTGAATGAGTGAAGAGGAACTACTAGTGATGATAATGTCATCCACACATAAATTAGAATAAAGATGGTGTGAGCTTGATGTTTGTACAAGAACAATGAGGGATCACATTTACTAGATTTAAATCCAAGTCGAAGAAAAGTAGAGTTGAGTCTGTCAAACCATTGTCTAGGAGCTTGTTTTAAGCCATAAAGAGTTACGTTAAGCTTGCAAACAGGAGATTTGTCTTCAACTTCAAATGCAAGAGGTTGTACCATGTAGACGATTTCTTCCAAAGCACCATTAAGAAAGACATTATTCACATCTAATTGAAATAACTTTCAATTTTTGGTGATAGCAAGACTATTAATAATTTTGATAGTGATGGGTTTAACAATAGGAGAAAAAGTCTCATGAAAATTGAAACCATAAACATGATGAAACCCTTTTGCCACCAACCTATCTTTGTATTTATTTATGGACCCATTTGCATTTTCTTTTATCTAAAACACCCATTTACAACAAACTACCTTTCTTTCAGAGGATAAAGGGACTAAATCCCATGTATAATTGTGCATTTAAAGCAGTATATTCTTGTTGCATGGAAGCAAACCATTTTGGATTAGATAGGGCTTGTTTCACACCTTTAGGTTCATTATGAGCCAAAAACAATTAGGGATGCAATCTAGGATTATGAAGCCTAGATTTGCACTTGGTACGCATGGGGTGATTATTAATGGTTATAGGAACAATATTTATGTGAGAAGAAGACTCTGATAAGGATAAAGAGTTGGAATCAAACTGGGACATAGGAGATGATACAAAAGGAGAATTCTCTTGAACACCCTGATCATTAGTAGGTGAAGAAAGAATAGGCTATTAAGAGGGAGAAATGACAATGGAACAAGGAGGTGATAGATCAAGATTAAGAGTAAAGTATTGCCAAGGAGAGATATTTATGGTGAGATTTGACTGAAAAAGATCATAATTAATAAGCGAAATCTTTGTTCATTAAAATAACATCCTTTGAAA